GAGGCCCATGGGCCTAAACGGTCACCTGAGTCCTACAGTATTTATTTTTGTTGTTGAAATATGAACCAATTCAAGTACAAAATAGTTAAGTATAACGTTAACTTAAGTTTATCAGGACCATGAGGTGATCATTCCTAGACCGAGTTTCAGTTAAAAGTTTCAATTCAATCGGCCTAGAAGAACTTGACTTTAAGTTTGAAATAGTTTTTCAAAAAGGCGGCCGTGACGGCCATATTGGATTTCTGATCGACCCGAAGAATAACAACACTTTGTCAGGACCATGAGTCAATCATTCCTACAAAGTTTCAGTTCAATTGGCCCAGCAGAACTTGACTTTAAGTTTGAATTAGTTTTTCAAAATGGCAGCCGTGTCGGCCATATTGGATTTCTGATCGACCCGAAAAATAATAACACTTTGTCAGGACCGTGAGTCAATCATTCCTACAAAGTTTCAGCTCAATCAGCCCAGTAGAACTTGACTTTAAGTTTGAAATAGTTTTTCAAAATGGGGGCCATGGTGGCCATATTGGATTTCTGATCGACCCGAGAAATAACAACACTTTGTCAGGACCATGAGACGATCATTCCTACAAAGTTTCAGTTCAATTGGCCCAGCAGAACTTGACTTTTAAGTTTGAAATAGTTTTTCAAAATGGCGGCCGTGGCTGCCATATTGGATTTCTTATCGGCCCGAAAAATAACAACACTTGGTCAGGACCATGAGTCAATCATACCTACAAAGTTTCAGTTCAATCGGCCCCGCAGAACTTGACATTAAGTTTGAAATAGTTTTTCAAAATGGCGGCCGTGGCGGCCATATTGGATTTTTGATACACCCGAAAAATAACAACACTTGGTCAGGAACATGAGTCAATCATACCTACAAAGTTTCAGTTCAATTGGCCCAGCAGAACTTGACTTAAAGTTTGAAATAGTTTTTCAAAATGGGGGCCGTGGTGGCCATATTGGATTTCTTATCGGCCCGGAAAATAACAACACTTGGTCAGGACCAGGAGTGAAGCATTCCTACAAAGTTTCAGTTCAATTGGCCCAGCAGAACTTGACTCTAAGTTCGAAATAGTTTTTCAAAATGGCAGCCGTGTCGGCCATATTGGATTTCTGATCGACCCGAAAAATTATAACACTTTGTCAGGACCGTGAGTCAATCATTCCTACAAAGTTTCAGCTCAATCGGCCCAGTAGAACTTGACTTTAAGTTTGAAATAGTTTTTCAAAATGGGGGCCGTGGTGGCCATATTGGATTTCTGATCGACCCGAGAATTAACAACACTTTGTCAGGACCATGAGTCGTCCAATCCTACAAAGTTTCAGTTCAATTGGCCCAGCAGAACTTGACTCTAAGTTCGAAATAGTTTTTCAAAATGGCGGCCGTGGCTGCCATATTGTATTTCTTATCGGCCCGAAAAATAAAAACACTTGGTCAGGACCATGAGTCAATCATTCCTACAAAGTTTCAGCTCAATCGGCCCAGTAGAACTTGACTTTAAGTTTGAAATAGGTTTTCAAAATGGCGGCCGTGGCATCCATATTTGATTTCTGATCGACCCGAAAAATAACAAACCTTGGTCAGGACCATGAGTCGCTCATACCTACAAAGTTTCAGTTCAATCGGCCCCGCAGAACTTGACTTTAAGTTTGAATTAGTTTTTCAAAATGGCGGCCGTTGCATCCATATTGGATTTCTGATCGACCCGAAAAATAACAAACCTTGGTCAGGACCATGAGTCGCTCATACCTACAAAGTTTCAGTTCAATCGGCCCCGCAGAACTTGACTTTAAGTTTGAATTAGTTTTTCAAAATGGCGGCCGTGGTGACCATATTGGATTTCTGATCGACCCGAAAAATTATAACACTTTGTCAGGACCGTGAGTCAATCGTTCCTACAAAGTTTCAGCTCAATCGGCCCAGTAGAACTTGACTTTAAGTTTGAAATAGGTTTTCAAAATGGCGGCCGTGGCATCCATATTTGATTTCTGATCGACCCGAAAAATAACAACCCTTGGTCAGGACCATGAGTCGATCATTCCTACTAGGTTTCAGTTCAATTGGCCAAGCAGAACTTGACTTCAAGTTTGAAATAGTTTTTCAAAATGGCGGCCGTGGCATCCATATTGGATTTCTGATCGACCCGAAAAATAACAAACCTTGGTCAGGACCATGAGTCGATCATACCTACAAAGTTTCAGTTCAATTGGCCCCGCAGAACTTGACTTTAAGTTTGAAATTATTTTATCAAAATGGCGGCTGTGTCGGCCATATTGGATTTCTAATCGACCCGAAAAATAACAACACTTTGTCAGGACCATGAGTCGATCATTCCTACCAGGTTTCAGTTCAATTGGCCCCGCAGAACTTGACTTTAAGTTTGAAATAGTTTTTCAAAATGGCGGCCGTGGCATCCATATTGGATTTCTGATCGACCCGAAAAATAACAACACTTGGTCAGGGAGCTGTCATGCAGTAACCTTCCCATGAAATATTAATGAAATCCCTTTGCCAGTATTTCAGCTTAAGTTGAAAATGTACGGACGACGGACGACGGACGACGACGGACGAAGACGGATAACATTAGGTCACTTGAGCTAAAGCTCAGGTGACCTAAAAACTATGAAGAAGGGGGGCTTAAAATGATACATCTAAAATATTTCATAACTGCTTTTAAAGAAACTTGGATCAGAAAGGAAATATAGTAAACTAGGAAATTAAGGTATTGTTGTGGAATCGTTATTTGATATACAGAAATTAGAAAATATTGGAATTGAGAAATTGAAAGAACAATAAAAAAATTGTAAAAATGTATTTTGGAAAGATGTTTTAGATGCCTGGTATAAAACTATCAATGCAAGCAAAATATACAAAACAAATATTATTGATAATCCAGTATGGTTTAACGGTGAAATAAAAATAGATCGAAAAGTTATCTTCAATAATAATAAAAAAAGGGGTTCATCTTATCCACAGCATTTTTAAAGAAGAAGCCCAATGGGCCTGCATCGCTCACCTGGTATTTATCTCACACTCGTGATCTTAAAAGTGGACTAAAATACAGCTACAGGCAGAATATCAGTGTTTGATATCATCATGCTTATACCAATTTCAGTAGTTTTATTTTTATATTTTTTTTACATATCATTATACAGGGGTTAGCCATTTAACAAAAATATCACCCATGATGAAAAGAAGTTTGTTAAAGCTTTTAACCAATGTTGACGTTTGACCCCCGACAAACACTTAAAGTTGAACTTTGACCTCATTACTGTAATGGAGAAAAATATTTTTCCCAATGCTGGTCTACATAACATACTCAGTATCATGACTCTAGTCTAAATGGTTCTTAAGATATTGTTGTTTGAATTTTTAAGCATATTTGATCACTGTGACCTTGAAAGTAGGTCAATGTCATTTCAATGAGGAAACTTCATAGCATTCCTTTTCAGATACCTACTGGCCAAATAGCATGACCCTAGGTCCTCCAGTTCAACTTCAGAAGTCGTTCAAAAGAAAAAGGTGATGGACGGACGACAGATGCCTATGGGCCAGGTGAGCTAAAAACCATCGATCTCTTATTTATTTCAGGAGACAAAGCTCCCATTAGGTCTAATATACTTAAAATCCAAACTCTGACCATTTTTGAAAAATAAAACAAACAAGAGGTCCATGGGTCAAAATGGTCTCCTGGCATGTATGTATTTAACATTGACGTCGGGAAATTTACATTAGAATAATATTCATTTATATAGTACTCCTAGGCTTTACAATAGTGGTAACAGTTGTTCACTTGCATTGGACAATTAAAAGAAGAGTTTCGGCATGTGAAAGTTCAAAGCTACATGTACTTATACCAAGTGGAAAGCATGCACGGATTGGTTTAATTTAGTTAAATATAGACAATGTTCTTGGTTTGACTGTCCAATGCTTTATGATGATACAATTTTCACTCTTAGTAACACCTTTTAATATTCTGGGACAACCAACATTTCTTTATTCGAATATGTGAAATGAAGTTTGTGACCTGCTTGTCTAAAGGGCAAGTGGTGTGAAATGTTGTACATCTTATTATCGTAACAATAAGCATAAGCTGGAGCAAAACTGGGTTTTTATTTGTTAATCCTTAAAGTTGTTGTCCAAGCGTTGCATGATGTTAAAATGCTAAGATACAACATTATTTAAAGCCGATTTCGAAATGTGTAATTACAAAAATAAATGGTTTCAATGGCCTTTCAAAACACTTGCCATTAGGTTCATGTTAGCCAAATACCCATACATATTGAATTTCAGCTAAAATGTATAATTTCTAAATTTTGACCAATCAGAGGCCACTCGGTTACCATGATAACCAAAATTTTCGAAACACCCTCAGTTGAATTCAGTGTACAAAATTACCCATATAAACCAATCTCAACAAAATCCATCTACATTAAAATGTCGATAAATCAAATGCCTGCATTGTAGCCCCTTCTATGGTCCCAGTGACTTGATTTGAATAAACTTGAATCTACATCACCAAGGCACCATGCATGCAAAACAACAAACCTGTGGCACTTCTGGTACTTGAGAAGGTTTTTTTAAATTGACGATTTTTTCCTATTTTTGCCCCTATTGGGACCCCTTAGAGACTTAACCCCTCCATGTGAACAAATCTAAATCCCCATGCCATGCTGATCACTTGTGCCAAGTCACACAGGAATGAACCAGCAAACAAGTCACACAATCAATATGAACATGTCACTATTATTGAAAATAAAACACCTTTACATGTATTTCTCATTGTCAATACTTAAGATAATATCATACACTCGTTGTTTTGTTCAAATAAGGCTTTAATGGTTTTGTTTGTTTGTCCAGTCATGATAAGCACAATGTCGTCTACTTCTGTTTTTAATTCTGAAAAAGACCTAATATGGGAAATAACATTTGATTGTATGTCCAAACAACACAGATTTTCAAAAAGCCAAGAATATATTCCATGACAATATACCTTCTTCACCTGCAGGAGTACCATCCTCATCTAGATCATCTGATGTGCTGTTACGGTTAGATCCCGAACCATCCTCATCTGGATCCTCTGCTGTGTTGTTAAGGTTAGATCCCGAACCATCCTCATCTGGATCCTCTGCTGTGCTGTTTCGGTTAGATCCCGAACCATCCTCATCTGGATCCTCTGCTGTGTTATTTCGGTTAGATCCCGAACCATCCTCATCTGGATCCTCTGCTGTGTTGTTTCGGTTAGATCCTATGTCATTTTGTGGCTGTGCCATAGTACTGTGTTCATCAGTTCCACCTCCACTACCTTAGAAACATTAAGACAAGTTTGTTAGACTAGCTCTTACTAAGGAGTCATTACCCAAATTACGAATTTTTTGAAGATATAAAAAAAACCTTACATTTCAAATAATAAGGTACAACAAAAAAATTATCCAAAATGTTGCAGGAAGAATTGTACTTTTCTCCTTCAAATATTACCAGAACATTTTATCATTTGAACTATACTTTTAAAAATATTCATCCAAAATTCTCCAAATACATATATATATCTTAACAGAAGGTCAATTCATTGTCGTTTTTCATAACAAGAGGCCCAGAGGGCCTGTATCGCTCACCTGAATATAATTTAAGTAATTGGTATGAAGTAAAGATATAGCACTCCATGTTAGGTGCTGGAAGTACATATGAAATTTCAGAAAGATCCATCCAGTACTTGAGATAAAGAGAACAAACTTCAAACAGAGCCCCAGCCCTATGCCCCTACGGGGGTCTTACCCACGAATTATACAAAATTGAGTCACCGTCACCCAAGGATACTCCACACTAAATAAGGATAAAATCCCTTTATCCTGATGGTCTGAGAAGGATTTTAAAGGTTTTACCTCTATTTCTCCTATTGGGCCCCGCCCTTCTGCCCCCTCGTAGACCACACCTACTGCTAATAAAAAAATGAGTCCCCTTGGCCCAAGGATGCTCCAGACTAAATTAGGATAAAATCCCTTAATCCCTATGGTAGAAGAAGGATCTTAAAGGTTTTACCTCTATTTTCCCTATTGGGCCCCGCCTCTCTGCCTACAGGTGGGGTCAGACACACCGTTTATACAAAATTGGTTCCCCTTCACCCAAGAATGCTTCAGACCAAATATGGACAAAATCCTGTCAATCCTACCGAATAAGAAGGATTTTGAAGATTTACGTCTATTTCCCCTATTTGGCCCTACCCCTCAGGTCTCAGGGGGGCCACACCTACCGTTTATACAAAATTGGTTCCCCTTTACACAAGGATGTTCCACACCAAATATGGACCAAATCCTTTCATTCCTACAGAAGAAGAAGGATTTTAAAGAATAATTTCCTATGTTTCTCCTATTGGGCCCCACCGCTCAGGCACCTGGGGGCAAGATCCACGGTGTATACAAAATTGGTTCCCCACTACCCAAGGATGCTCCACACTAAATATGGACCAAATCCTTTCATTCCTACAGAAGAAGAAGGATTTTAAAGAATTTGCTACATTTCCCCTATTGGGCCTCGCACCTCAGCCCCCAGGGGGGCCAGACCCACCATTTATACAAACTTTCTTTCCCTTTCTCCAAGGATGCTTCTGACCAAATATGGAACAAATCCTTTCATTTCTACAGAAGAAGGATTTTAAAGAAGAATTTGCTATATTTCCCCTTTTTGGCCTCGCCCCTCAGGCCCCTGGGGGGCCAGACCCACCATTTATACAAAATTGGTTCTTCTTCACCCAAGGATGCTCCACACCAAATTTTGTTAAAATCCGCTCAGTGGTTCATGACTAGTAGTGTAAAGTTGACGGACGGCGGACGCTGCGGAATGGCATAAGCTCACCTTGGTCCTTCGGACCAGGTGAGCTAAAAATCGTCGATCTCTATTTTTTTCAGAAGGCAAAGCTCCCAGTACCTGCAGGTCTAATATACATGAAAATCCAAAGTCTGACCAGGTTTTTTTTTACAAACAAGAGGCTCATGGGCCTATATGGTCACCTGGCAAGCTTACATTTAACATTGGTGGCAGAAAATTTTACATTAGAACAATATTTATTTATATAGTACCCCTACGCTTTACATAAGTGGTAACAATTGTCCACTTACATTCGACAATTGAAAGTAGAGTTAGGGCATGTGAAAGTTCAAAGCTACATGTACTTATACCAAGTGGAAAGCATGACTTTATTCCAAACTTCCTGTTCTGTTTTCATAAGAAGTATAGCCACTCTAAATGATGTATTATGCCCTGACTACATTTAAGATGTTATTGTGTGGACAACAGAAGACATTAATCAATAAAGGTATTAATTGGTACACTGTTGTGGCAAATCATCAAAACCAGTACAAAAACTGGAACTGTAAACAAAAGGCTAACTAATACCCCGCTCCTATATAAAACAGAATTGTAAGCTAAAGGCTACCTAAAGCAAAGCATTGCAAAGCAATACATAGTATAAGCCTAGATGAACCAGTTATGTCGAAATCATCCTTGTAGTTAAGGAAAATTGTTTGTACAAAGATTTTCAACAAAGGGCAATAACTCCTTAAAAAAGGTTGAAATGAAAAAATACTATCCTGATGCACGACATAAGGGGATTATTACCATATCTGTAATCTGTATTTTTTTCATTGAAATCGACCCAGTAAACAGTAAATGTACCTTGAGGTAACTTTTGATTTAAACTTCATACAGCTGTGTATAAAAGAAACCTTCAAAGTGAGTTTGTCCTTTCACATATTAACTTATACAGTACTTCATGAGAAAGAAATAGATCCTATCATCGGAATATGACAAAGATCTTTTAAGTACTTCTTAGGAAATAGTTCTTCCTGCCTCCAGCTTTTATTATGATCACTCTGAAAATACCGCATAATAATAATAATAATTACAATAAATTCGAGGTTCTTATATACTGCTTTATCACAACCAAGTTCGTAGGTCGTCTCAAAGTGGTTCACAAATTATTATCCGTGGTTATATGCAACCTTTGCAATCGCCAATATCTTTCTCAACTCCATTTTGGCGCTCACAGCTAGCATTCAACAATTATAACACTGCCCAACAACGCTCAAAGATATAACACAGTGCTGTGACTCGAACCTGCAACCCTTGGTAAATCCCACAAGTACTTCCTGAGAAATAGCGTCTAAACAAACATTCACATAATTCAGAAGAATTGTTTAAGGCTGGAAGACAGATTGACGAAGGACCACAGATGACAGCCGACAGAATAAATAAATTAGAGAGTGGAAAAATAAAATCACTCATTCAGATTATAAATGATAAAGCACCACAAAAAAAATGAAACAATATTTTCCAGCAATGAGCATGTCAATCACGTCACTGGTCAATTTCATCTATTGAACTACTACTTTCATTTCTTTTCAAATAAGAAAAATCCTCCATATTCAAAGTGTTTTGGTACAACATAAGTCGCCACACACGAACATTGTTGTATTTGCATTAAAGCCAACGCAAATATAAACTGACTATTACTTCAGAAGACAAAACTCCCAGTACCTGCACCTGTAATATACATGTAATTCAAATCCTAGACTAAGGGGTCGAACCAACCTCATTTATTTAAAAAAGTATTGACCTTCCCTATTGATGCTTCAGACTAAATTTGGTTGATTTCTTCTCTGGCATTTAGCAGAAGATGCGTTTTAAAGCAAATTTAGCTAAGTTCCCCCTTCAGGGCTCCGCGCCCCTGGCCTCAGGGGTCGAAACAACCTCATTTATTTAGGAAATGATGGCTTTCCCCAATGAAGTTTCAGAGCAAATTTGGTCAAGATCGTCTATGGGGTTTAGGAGGAGATCCATTTTAAAGCAAATATAGCTAAGTTCCCCTGAAGGGCCCCGCGCCCCTGGCTTCAGGGTTCGAACCAAACTCACTCGTGGTTTAATTAAAATCTACGCGTAGAAAAACAGAACCGTAGAAAAGCAGAGAGACAGTGGGTACGGACCAAATTAACCGTTCACAAACATATGTATAGAGAGCTTAACCGTTCACAAACAGATGTATAGAGAGCAATGTCGGCTAGTTGGTTCACTACTCTTTCAGTCAAAGAAGGCTTATTATTCGGAAAGAATCAAAGAATGCGGCAAGGATAATAGACAGCTTTTTTAGACTCACTAAAAACCTAATGGGACAGAAAGGTGACATTATCCTACCAAGCTATAATTCTGAAAAAGACTTAGCAAGCAAGTTCAGTGATTACTTTCTGAATAAAATCAGCTCAATCAGGAAAAATATTGCCGAAGTGAACACCTCTGCTGACATTGACATCTCTGTCATGACTGCTGACATTGCATTTGATGGGGGAACCATTGGCAATGCTCTCACCAACAACCCAGGACGAGTTGCGCAACATTATCATGACCTCGCAGTCAAAGGCACATGTCAGACCATTGTTAAAGAAGCCTGGAATGGACAAGGAGTTGTTGAAAAACTACCGCCCAGTTTCAAATCTGCCTTTTCTGTCTAAGATCTTGGAGAAGATTGTGCCCTGGCGTTTAGAGGTTCATCTCCATGCAAACAGTCTCCATGACAACATGCAATCGGCCTACCACATGGGACACTCTACTGAGACGGCCCTCCTACGTGTACATAGTGATAAAGCTTCTGCATTGGATAACAAGTGCAGAGCGGTGCTTGTTATGCTGGACCTGTCAGCTGCATTTGACGTCATCGACCATGGCATACTTTATAAACGTCTGGAATACTCTTATGGAGTGACTGATACCGCACTATGCTGGATACAGTCTTACCTGAGTAAACAACGACAGTGTGTTGCCACCGGATCTTCCACCTCACATGAAAAAGTACTAGATTTCGGGGTTCCTCAGGGGTCGGTGTTAGGACCACGAAAATATTGTATGTACTCCAAACCGATTGGAGAGATTTGTCGTCGCCATAGCCTTCGCTATCATTGCTATGCCGATGACACACAAATTTACATGGTCATCAAACCACATGACAGTTAGAATACCGTCTCAGAAAGTCTGGAAGCTTGTCTAACAGATATCAGTATCTGGATGAACGCCAACATGCTTAAGCTTAATCAGGAAAAGACGGAACTAATCGTCTTTTTCCCAAAATGTCAGCAAATAATGGCTCTCCAGCTCAAGGTCGGTGCCAGAACTATTGAGACTGTTCCAGCTGTTTAAAACCTAGGGGTATACTTTGATAGTTCACTAAACATGGAGAAACAAGTGAACGCTATTGCCAAATCCTGTTACTACCAGATCAGGAACATCGGCTGTATTCGGCAGTTTTTAACTGAAGATGCA